TTTTATATTTATTATTATTATTACTACTACTCTCTGTGTGTGTGCCCTCAAATCAGATCTGACTGGTACAGGAGGAGATTGCCCACCCATCCCCTCCTTCTACAGCAGAGCATCTGGTGGATTCAAACCCAGTACCTCTGAGATTGCAATGCAGCTTCTTGCCATTAGGCCACCAGAGCTCCCTACACATGGTGCTTTAAAGAAACCAAAATAAATATTCTATGGCTAAATCATGAGAAGATGGGGGATGAAATTAGAAGGGTTAGCAGACCAATCATACAAATTGTGAGTTTCTTTAAGGACCTTGAATGCACTCCAGAAGGAAATAAGGATACATAGAAAATTGTAACAAGTAATCAGATTTATTGTTGAGAAAAATCAACAGAATGAACTTTAAGTAACCAATGAATAAAAAGCTTGAAGTCCATGTCAAAAGTAGATGTGAGAGATGGTATCAAGTGAGTATGTGAAAAAGTGTGTATATGGTAGATATCCATGGGAGGTCAAAAGACAGGATTTGTCTTGTGGAGACAAAAATGTGGAGGTTGAAGAGGAATTAAGAATAATTCCAAGATCTCAGGTAACTAGAGAATGGTTAAGCTATTCTCTGAGATCAGGAGCAGGACAGGATGTGAAGGAGGTAGATGAGAAACCCACTTGCTCATCTATGTTGGGTTGTCTAACAGGCATGTGAACAGGCAGAGAGCACTGTGGCCAGGCAAATGCAGGAATTAGGGCACAGCAGTATTAGTGCCAAGAAGAGGCCTGGCACTTCATGGGAAAAACGCATAAAGATAAGAGGTAGGATTCTTCGAACAACATTTAAGAGATGGTCAGACAAAGATCAGATGAAAACATGATTATGATCGTTAACATCTTTTTCTCTTAACTTCCACTCATGTCAAGACGGAACCTATTCACAGTTGACCCTCCAGCAAGTTTTCAGAGGCTATAAAGTGCACTAGAAGGAATTGTTCACCTGTGTACTGAGAAGCTGTTTGTGGACGCCTGAGGGGCCACCTTTAGGTTAGTCTCACAAATCTTGACATACTAGAGCCTCCTGACTTTCACTTAGTACCTATTATTCACCAGCCATTGGGTTATGCCCATTATATGCACAAGTACTAAAAGTTCCAACAATTCTCTCCATTTATTGTAATATATGTGTGTGTGTGTGTGTGTATCTAGATAGATAGATAGATAGATAGATAGATAGATAGATAGATAGATAGAGCTATGAGCCCAATTTTCTCCCATCAGATTCAGTTTCTTTCAGCATTCTCTTTGATTTATTGTTGTTGCTATGTGCTGTTGAGCTGACTATGACTCAGAAATTCTATGAACAATAGCTCTGAAACGTACTCTATCCGGAGCCAGCCTCACTAACTCTTACATACCTGACCCCACTGCCACAGTCACTGTGTCAGTCCATCTCATCCAGGGTCTTTTTATCCCTCACTGGCCCTTCACCCATCTAAACATGATGTCCTTCATCAAGGGTTGGCTTCCTCCTGATAACATCCCCAAAGGATGTGAGACAGAGTTTCAAAAGTCTTGCTTCCAAAGAGTTACTTGGTTTCACCCTCTCCAGGAAAGCCCTGCCCGTTTTTTCCTCTTGGCAGTCCATGATATGCTCAGTACTCTTCTCCAGCACCATATTTCTAAGGTATTGATCCTTCCTTTGTCATTTTTAGTCACTGTCTAGCTCTCAGATGCAATTGAGAAGACCATGGCCTGGATAAGGTGCCTGGATCTTAGTCTCTAGAATGATATCATTGTTCTTTGGCATTCTGGAGAGACAGCAGATTTTCCCAACTCGTCTTTTGATTTCTTGACTGCTAGTGCCAACATCAAGAAGATAAAGATACCACTGGGCCAATTGGCAGCACTAATGATGGATGGAGGAGATACTGAGGTTGTTAACAGTTACAGCTTGCTCGGCTCCACAATTAGCACTCTTGGTACCAGCAGTTAGGAAATCAAAAGACAAAGTACATCGGGAAAATCTGCTGTCAGGGACAATCTTCTTGGTACCAGCAGTTAGGAAATCAAAAGACAAAGTACATCGGGAAAATCTGCTGTCAGGGACAATCTGTCTTTGGATTTACAGCACAATTTCTTGCCCACGAAGTCACTAGAGCTTCTTAAAAAGACTATGTTGTTTTTGTTGTGTACCATCAAGTCAGAACCAACCCATAGCTGACCCTCCAGCAGATTTACAGAGGCAGCAAATTGCACAGGAGGAGACTGCCCATCTTTCTCTCATGGAGTAGCTAGTGGGTCCAGACCACATAGCTTTGTGTTGGTAGCACAATTACTCACCAAGAAGCCACTAGAGCTCCTGAGGCCAAGTAAATGTGAATACTTTTTCTGACTGTTGAGGCTATTTGTTGTTAGAGAGTTGACTGATTTGTGAGCTATTTTGGTTTGTGTTAGGGAACACATTCACTGTTACTCAAAGCCCATGGCAGTTATGTTTGGCTGATGTCATTACATCTGAGGAGGTACACTTCTTACATTAGATTGTCATTTAAAATCTTGATCACGCCTTTGAAAGTTTTAGACTATTCTTATATTCTTGCTTTTCTATAAGTACATTGTGACTTGGTAATAATTGTACATTTGATAAAGTTAGTTAATATCTTTTCTGTCTCATGTTTCTCTTCCACCTATTGTGTTTCTTAGAGTCCATTCTCTGAAGCCACATCAAAGATTTGAAAATATGCTACTTGCAATTTAGTTAATGTTTTCTCGGAAACTCCTGTGTTTGTTAGGTAATAAGGAAACTTTGATAATCAAAATGGTTACTGTAATGGCATTTTATTAGGGGCATGTTAAGGTTGAGCATTCAACGGATAAGGGTTTAACACTCACTGGTATTTCAGATCTGACCGGGTCCATCCTGGGAGACGGGAGATGAATGGGCATTTGGGATCAACAGCTTGGAGCCCACACAAGACCAAAAAGCACAGGAGATACATGGGATAAAATTGTTCTCTGAGTGGATCTCTGAATTGGAATGTATCAAAACTTTTCCAGTATCTTACAATCCAGAGCCTTGGATTTACACTCAAAGTCTGATTAAACAGAACTTGATCTATTTTCTTTAATATACTGCCTATCTTTCAAGAATTATCACTTTGTGGCAAGGATATTCTGTTAAGAAAGCTAAAGAACCTCAACATCTCCAAATCCCTGTGTATGTTGTTGTTGTTGTTGTCGTTATGTGTCATTATACGTGATCATAGTGATCCTATCTACAACAGCTTGGGAGCCTGCCCTGTCCAGAGCCAGTCTAACTATGACACACCTACCCCCATTGTCCCAGTTGCTGTATCGATCCATCTCATCTGGGGTCCTCCTCCCTTGCACTGTCCCTCCACCCTTCCAAGCAAGTGGTCTTTCTCCAATGATGGGTCCTTCCTGACCACATGCCCAAAGTATGTGAGACGGAACTTCAAAATCTTAGCCTCCTTATGTTAAGAATACATCACTAACCCAGGTAAATTATTAACCCTTGGGCTTATCTGAGTTTGTATCTCATTGATATATATTGATCCAGGAAGAAGTCAAGCAATGAGACCTGATAGAGCTTTACTCCTAAAGAAAGAGTAGATTTAAGCTAAAATATTGGACATTGAGGTATACTTAAGTACTCCATTTCAAAGTTGTACACATTCACACACAGAAGTGGATGTGTAACATTTTATCAGCTATGTGAAAATGGTTGTCTGATTCAAAATGTCAAATATCACTCAATCACTGCTCACTAATGCCAAGTATGTTCATATTTACGCATCTCATTTCACTTTTTACAACTTCTTATTTTCCTACATTCATACTTTATGCATTACATGTTCCAATTACTAATAATGCATGTTTGCAGATGTTTCTCTCTCTCTCTCTCTCTCTCTCTTTGTTTCTTTGAAGATGTATTTATTTATACTATACTTACTTAACAATCCTCCTCTGTTATCACAGAGTTTTTTAGGACTGTGTTATTTCAAAAGTGGATGGTCAGTCTTGCTTCTTAGTCTGTGTCACTCTGGAAGCTCTGCTGAAACGTGTCTACCATGAGTGACCTTGCTGATATTTGCAATGATGCTGGCTTGGCTCCCATCACTATAAGACTATGAAAGTCAACACAGTATAGAGAAGTACTGTGCCTAGAAAGAACACTATAAACAAGCAAGCACACACAGATACAAACTATAAAGCAAGCACCATCACAACAACATGCAAGTTACCCTAGCAGAGCAAACTGACAGACAAGTACTGTATCCATATGAGTAAACTACAAAACAGGTAACTATGTAAATATAAAACAAACATGCATGTTATGGGAAACAGAAAATAAACTGTCTAGCCTAGGGTGGTTTATCTGCCAGTTCAGCAAAAGATTAGAGTTGGGAAGCCCAGTCAGGTCAGAGTTTCTACTTGTCTGAGTGATGACTGAAGCCCTGAGATCTGAGTCAGCTCATGGGTAGCACCTCTTTTGACCTAAGGTGTGTCCAGGGTGTGTCAAGGCATGGAGCTCCCAATCTGGGACAGAGTTTCTGCTGGGTCAGAGAAGCCTAGACTGAGCAAAGAATACTGAGTATCCCAAGCACTGCCAAAAGAACAAACACGTCGGTCTTGGAGAAAGGGCAGTCAGAGTGTCCTTAGAGGCAAGAATGATGAAACTTCTTCTCATATACTTTGGGAATGTTGTCTGGAGGGGTTAGTCCTTGGAAAAAAGAGACCATGCTTGGAAAGGTGGAGGGTTAGAGATAGAGAAGACTGTCAACAAAATGGACTGACACAGTTCCAGTCACTGAAACAATGTACTTGGGCATTTCTGAGATTAACAGGAAGGTGCGAGAAAGGGCAAATTTATTATCTATCATTCAGAGAGTTGCTATGAGTCATAGTTGACTTGATGGCACATAATAATAACAACATGTGCAAAATTACCCTCTGTATAAGTTCCCTTCTCAAAAGTATTTCTTTTAGATTCTTACCTCATCTGCCACTTTCCATATTTCTTGATCACTCCACTGTTCATAGGGATCCAGGTTTTTTCTAAATGTTCCAGAAAAGATGAATACTTTCTATAGCAATAAGGGAGGGAGAAGAAAATGAATAACTTTCTTTAATGAATATTCTTCCCTTTTAATTTATTTTATTATGAAGTATTTAAAGCAAAAATAAAAATTATTATAACAAGAATCCACATACCATTCAGTTTTACCATTCTTAGCATTCATTTGTGTCCAATTTTATATGTTCATATTTTCTTTCCATAATTTTAAAGAAATATAAGCTAAAACACATCTCAGGTGACTCAATGGCACATAACAACAATAACATACTATAACAGGTTTGGAAGCAGGCGTGGCATCCACTTCCTAAACAACATGTCTCCAGAAACTCTATGAACTTTGATAAATGTCGATAGTTGTAGAGGGACTTCAGGCCTTTTGTTCATAGGGTCGCTATGAGTCGTGCTCGACTCAAAGGCAATCAACAACAACAGCTAAAAGAACACTTGGAACCATCACAAATGCTTATCAAATACATATTCTTTAAAATAAATTTGAGAAATTGGATTTCTCCCCTAGCTATATTCCTTACAGGAAAATATAAAATCAAATGGCTAAACAAGAACTAAGCATGAGTCCCAATGAATTGTTGAAACAAATTTCTATTAATATCGCTAATTTATTTTCCTCCCACTTACCTCAAAATTTTAACTTCTAGTTTGATTTTTTAAGATATTTTCATTCATTTCCACATTCTGATTTAAGCATACATGTTCAGTTGGTCAATAAACAAAGGTGTACGTCTAATATGAGCGCACAGGAACAAGACAGACATAATGAAATGAAACATTTGTTGAACTGAAGGCAGGCTCCAGAGGGAGGCGGAGGGGAGTATTCTCGTAAGGTGAACAAGGGACGGGCTTCCAGTAGGAAGTCTCATCCTGAGACACTCCACTGCACTCTACGTATTATCAGTATGAGTATAGACTGCTTTAAAAGAAAATCAGCATATCATTAGTAAATGCTGCTATCATAATAACAACTACTATTCTCTTTGTGCTAATTTTTAATTGAAAGTTATTTTACTTATATATCTATTTTTTCATTTTAGTGAAGGTTCCCAAAGAGATTTATTTTTATTCAGGTACATTTTTCTCCCACCCCCAATTCTGTTTTTAATGCTTATTTTGTTCCAGGCTGTTAAATGTCCATCACATCGTCTCTAATTGTTCATTCTTTTCAGATTGTCTATCCTTTCACCCATTCCAGGGCAGTGTTCACAATCTATCTCTTCTTTATTCACTCTCCCCTTCACTTCCCCCAGTTTAACAGGAGTCTTTTGCAGTATCTATCCTTTTGTGATGGAGATATTTCACTCAGCATAATGTCTTCCAGAATCATCCACGTTGTGCAATGTTTGATGAGTTCATTGTTTTGTAATGCTGCGTGATATTCTTTCGTATGAATCAATCATAGCTTTTCTACCTATTCAATAGTTAATGGCACTTGGGCTGTTTCCATTTATTTGCTATTGTGAATATTGCTGAGATAAACATTGGTGTGCATTGAATTGAAAATTCATTTTTATCTTTCTATTTAAAAGAATTTTGGTGATGTCATGCATAATATGTTGGACTGCTAATGGAAAAGTTGGTAATTTGAACCCACAAGGTCAAGGCAATCTGCTCTGGAGTAGAGGTGCCCTGGACCTCACAGCCACCATAACAGCCTCCTCACTGCTGTAGCTAAGCTCAGGAATGATCACGTGAGAGATGTCTACCTCTTTTGATTCCATTCATTCTGGCTTTCTTTTACTTCCTCCTGGTGGCTGGGACTCTCCTCTCCACATTCTTCCACTGGCCAGCTAGTCCTTCCTTTAGGATTCTAATGAATTATCACTTCCCCAGGGGCATCTTTCCTGATCCTCAAAAACCAAATAAATCCATGCTACGGGCTCATACAGCACTGCTTGCTGTATAAAGGTAACTTGTGGTTGCTGTGAAGCTGAACACTGTGACACTGATGTGTCAAATGCGATAATGGTTACCCATGGTGTACAGTGTTTGGTGGAGCTCCCTGATTAAAACAAGCTTTGAAGCAGGAGTGGCACCCACTTCCATAATAGCTGGCCTCTGGAAACCCTATGAACCTGGAGAAAGGATGAAAGTTATAAAAATGTTCAGGTCTTTCGTTCATAGGGTCACTATGAGTCGCCTACGACTTGAAGGCACCTAAAACAACAACAACAATGGTCCCATAGCAAAACTCCCTCACTGGTATACAATCCCCCCACACCTCCCCCAATCCCCCCCCCTACCCCCAAATATAATCCACTCTGCAACCCTCATTGCATACTCCTACTCCTACGATAAAAATAATGCCCTAAAATATAATACTTTTAGTTCCATTTTTACAATGGATTCAAGGATTTCACAGACTCATCTCTAAAGCTAAAAGGGCCTTAGAGGTTATCTAAGTCCTCTTTGCTGGTTTACAAATGAAAAATAGCCACGGGACTGAGAATTACATGGCTCGGCCTTGTTGACACAGTCCAGTGCAGCAAAAAGCACCCCTGAAACAATACATCACAGCGCTTCTCCATTTAAGCGATTCTTCACACATAGGAAAGTCGGGGTGCACAAACATCTGATACTTATTTTAGGTCATGTATAAGGAGCAATTCTTGGGAATCGAGGAAGACAAAAGAGAGAGCCATTGTTCACCATATGACTAATCTCTTTCCTGAAGCTGACTCCTCCACTCAGTGGAGACTTCCCAGTTCAGGTCTAGATGGGGTACTGTAAAATTGGCCCTGTTCCCAGCAACTGGCATTCTGCTTTAGATCTCACAAACCAAACCAAAACACAATCAAGACAACAGACAAGCAATCTAGCTACAGAGGCGACAGAGTACTACAGAAACAACTTACTCTATGTCTATATTAAAGGTTGTTTGATTAAAATGTGGCCCACCTATTTATGACATCAAAGTGGTTCAGACCTCTCTTTTTTTTTACAGTATATGCTGATGGTGTTGTTTTATAAATTGAATCTACGCAATAATATTCTGTCCAATTTGGATAGATCGATATTTTAATGTTGTATTGTACTTACTAAGTTGCTGTACCATGGTCACTTTTGGTTACTGTGAGGCTGAACACTGTGACACAGATGTGTCAAATGCGTTAACGGTTGGCTACCCAGTGCGGACTGAGAGTGGGGTGGAGCTCCCCAATTGAACAAGGGTGGAAGGAGGAGTGGCATCCACTTCCATAATAGCTTGCCTCCGGAAACCCTATGAACCTGGAGAGAGTATGAAAGGCACCCACACATCGAGGGCTCTCCTTCATAGGGTCGCTATGAATCACCTGTGACTTGATGGCACTTAACAACAACAACAACAACAATTGTACTTACTACTTACTAGGGAGTCTAATTAATTTTTTTGTATGTACTAATTAATTGAATTCTCATCCCAACTCAATGAAATAGTTACTACCACTACACTCATTTTATCGACAAGGAAACAGGAACATGGAAAGAAGTAACTTGCCTTACAAAACTCAGGTTTTGTGAACACTTCATCCTTTGTGAAAGAAATAATTTAGCAATTTGGCACAGAATATTAGTATTGAATTCCTACCATACAAATTATTGTACTGTATGCTGTATAAGAAATAGGAGCACTGGTGGCCCAGTGGCAAGAAGTTGTGTTGCAATCTTGAAAGCACGAGGTTCAAATCCACCAACTGCTCTATGGGAGAAGGATGGGAAATCACCTCCCATACAATTGATTAACTGCCTCTGAAAACCTGCCAGAGTGTCAGCTATGGGTTGGCTCCAAATCAATGGTACACAACAACAACAAGAATAAGCAAACAATCTGTACTTGATTTAGATTTCTATTATATTCTTTTTTACTAGTCTTCTTGATAGTTTTGTGCTTAAATCTGCTTCCTTAACTAAGACGTGTACCAAGTACTTGCAATAAATCAAAACATGTTGCTGTTAAATTGATTACAACTCATAGTGATTATCAAAATTATCAAAAGTGATTGAACCTCAAATTTCACTATTCAGATTTACAGATACATGTTTAGCCTTATCTGATATTCCTCACAACAAAAGATGCTCTAATCTTGTGATAGGAATCACATGTAGATATTATTACTTGGGGATTATAAAGTCTTATATGAATGGCACTGGGCTAAAAAAAGGTCTTACATGAAACCCAGGTGTAATTATTTCTTAAGAATGATTTGTGGCTCTCAAACTTGATATAGTATAAAAATATATATTCTTAAAGATCAGTTTTCTTCTTCTCTTTTCTTTTTATTCATGAATTAAGTGAATACCATGGTTTAAAGCTAATGAACAATCTTAAGTCTGGTGTTCAAACAGTTAAGTCAACAGGACTCGGACTATAGCCTTCATTGTGTCTTCCCATCCCCTTACAGGTAAGTGGAACAAATTGAAGGAAGTTCCACCATGAAATAGACACAATACTGTCTCTATCATGCCAGAATATTTTCTAAGACAGCATTCTAGCTGCAGGCAGGAAGATATTAAAAAGAAAATCCTGCAAGAACTTGTCAAAACTACAGGGATCTTTTGATTCTACAGCTCATGATTGAGATCACTCTGAGAAAAATGGGAGCCTTCATGTTCAGAGCTCTTGTTTCAAGTTTCTGAGAACAAGTGCCCAGTTGGCCAGTGATTTCTCATGTTCCAATGTTAGCCCCTGGAGAAACTACACCCCTGTAAGAGCAGAAAGATAAGAAGAAGGAAATTAAAGAAATGTAAATGAAAACAGTTCTTGCGGGGTATTAAAATTTTTATTACATTTTAAAGAACAGCTACTAGGAAAGGGGGGAAAATAATTTGATGTGTCAAAGAAAGGCCAGGAAAATCAAAGCATCTCTTGATTCAGATGTCAGAAATACGTGTCTTGCTCTCTTCCTCTCCATCATAAGTACTCACTTGTCATGTGAGAAATGGTACATTTAGCTAAGACATTTGTGTGATATTAGGGTACAGGTCCTGAAAGCAGGATCATAAGCTGGTATCCTGAAAAGAAGCATCTACGTCAGCACCACCGCTCACTTCTGGAAAACACTGTTGAAAGTATTTCTGGCTTTCGAATCTATAACTTCTCAGCCATCGAAGAACAATATAGACTAAAAAAGTTTAGTAGATTCATTTGGGCAGAAAAGCAGGATAAAGAATTTTTATGGGTTAGCATTTCCTACAAATTGTGTTTTTAAGAATCCTAAGGACTTAAAAAAACCCCCAACTTCACCACAAGGTGTATTGGTGATTTGGTTTCCAGTGGAATTGGAAGAACTTTTTTTAGAGCTCTGCTTATCCTAACACGTAGATCTATAAGAACAACAGCAACAGAACCCCAAAGCTTTATTGTCGTTAGTTTGAAATAGGGTCAGAAGACTTTGATTAAACTGACCCACGTTTCCCAGACAACCAGATTCTATCCCACATCCTCCAGCATTTTTAGCAAGCCTTTTGCTATCACCTTGGGATACTTGTATTCCCAGAACATTTTCTCTTTAAGACCATGTGACAATCCTTTTACTCCTTTCCAAAGAAACAATACTCGGTTTGGCAGTTAAAATATTTAGTGCCTCATTAGTCTAAAGGACTAAATGCTCCCTAAAAGTTATCTATCAAGAAATACAAGCTTTCTTTCTTAGTCTAGATTTGTAGTCACTCTACCTAGAGATGCTCCTGACATTTTGATTCTGTGCTAAAAGTAAAGAAGAGTGTAAAAGAACCACGGTAGTGAAGTGGAGTTAGTGCCTAACAGAACAAAGCGAAGAAAAGAATAGTTTACAAAATGAATATGCACATAGAAATGAGAGCAAAGACCAGGAGCAATATTGGAAATGCCTTTCTGCTTTAGTCCCATTAAGGACCTCCCTTGGTTTCCATTTAGATGATTTCAAATCTGGAACCGCCAGAATTTTCTGTCACACACAAGAAGTCCTCTACACAACCACACAGGTACAATGATATTAAGGCAGCGACGCTAGGCAGACTTTGTGATTCAGAACAAAGAGTGGTATTTTACAGAAAGCCAAAAAGCTACAGATTAATCCGACATGGTTCATCCTATCCTAAGAACAAAAACAATCACTACATTTTCTATTTCCAATTCTACAACCTCATAAATGCTTCCAAGTGTTAGTTATTTCAACAGAATCTTCTCCGACTTGTAATGCATCTCCCAACCTCCTGTGAGTGCTAACATGGAGCTCAGAGCACTGAAGCAGGAATACGAAAAGGAAGGAAAAAAGCTGATGAAAACAGAAGGCACACTGATTTGGGTGCGGGGTCTGCCTTCCCAGGAACATTACTGAAACTACCATTATGTCAATGCTTTCTGTCTCAGGGAATTTCAAGTGTCCCTTTCAAAGGTCCGTATTGCAGCAAAAAGACAACAAACACTATGAAAAGAGTTTGTGGAGAAATGTGATTTTCCTGACTACAAAAACCTATTACTGTCGTGTCTATTACAACACAGAACTGTCCTAGAGGAAGGAGTAGACTGCCCTATGGGGCTTCCAAGGCTGTACACATTTATGGAAGCTGACACCACATCTTTGTCCTACAATAAAGGGTTCAAACAAGGCATTCCGTTAGTAGCTATGGGCTTATCCAGTCACTAAGGTCCCTTTCCTGAGTATAAGTGTCAAAAGATGATTTTTAAAAAATGTCATTTAATCACTTCCCTTCCGTCCCCATTAATCCACCCCATTAAGGCTTCGGGCTCACCTGTGGGATGACTCCAAAGGCTTTTCTCCACTGTTGCAAGGTTGTTGAATCCCAAGACACACCATCAATCCGGATTTCTCCCTCAGTGATCAGCAGTCTCAAGAACGCTGATAACAATGTGCTTTTCCCAGATCCCGTTCTTCCCAACAGGCCCACCTGTGAGACAAAAGTAGCAGAATGACTCCCGTCAAACATTGTTCCATCAGGTCAGTGCAACACAGTATTATATCTAAGTAAAACCCACGACAATTCTTTTTTAAACTTAAAAAAATTTATTATTATTATTGTTAATTTTAATGAAAACTTACAGAGACTTTAGATTTCCATTCATTCATTGTTGCACTTTTCTCTCTGCCCACCCCTCTCCCCCAGTTTGTTCTTCTCTTTGAAAAGTAAAATAAAACTTCTTTCATCCACTCCACTGTGCAGCCTTCATTCTGGACTCATGTCATGCCAATAATCATATATATCTTTTAAACTGTTCTCTCCCTCATCTGTTTCAATGCAGTAATAATTATTAATTTATCCCATCTTTCTCAGTCTCCCCCCAAACCCCCATGTCAGTCCCATTTTACAACAGTGGCACTATGCAGTATTTGTCCTTTTGTGACTGAGATATTTCACTCAACATAATGTCCTCCAGGGTCACCCGTTTTGAATAATATTTCATGAGTTCCTTATTTTTCAATGCAGCATAGTACTCCACTGTGTGAATATACCACAGTTTCCCTATCCATTCATTTGTTGATGGGCACTTAGCTTGTTACCAACTCTTTGCTATTGTGAGTCACAAGGGGAAGATTTCACTTACTCTTCACACCTTCCTCCATACTCATACTCTTGGTAAGAATGCCAAGTTTATAGTCTGTGTAAGAATAAACCTGGCACAGAATTTGGCCATAAGGAATTGACCTCATGATGTTGCCTTCATTTATCACGGAACTTAACAAAAAGCAAAATAGTTGGACAAGTCCATTTCTAATTGACGAACGGCAAAACAGGAATGTCTCAAAGCACATTATTCCCATGGATGGGCTCAAAACAAAGGTCAAGACCTACATATCAATTTAGTTACAACACATAAATGGAAATTTGGACATTCGTTCATCTGAAGCAGGGTTCATATTCATATGCAACCTTTAATCAATTAATCACTTAAGCAATAGCCACTCTTAGATCTCACAATAGACAAGATCAAGAGGAAACTAAAATAAAACACGAACAGTTGATTCTGACTCATGGTGACCCATATGTACTGTAGAGGAGATCTATGCTCCATGGGGTTTCCAGGCTGTGACATTTTGGAAGCAGACAGCCAAATGTTTCTTTTGAGCAGCCAATGGGTAGGTTTGAACAGTCAACCTTTCAGTTAGTAGTCAAGCATTCAACTTAGGACACTACCTGGGGACTCCAAAAATAAGTTTGGTAAATGATACCATCCAAGAGAAAGTGGCAGTGAAGGAAGCCTCACTGCCACTCAGCGGATAGATAATACGTGTCGGTTGTCAAATCATATTCTTATCCCTAGCCCGACTGGCAGGAGAAAAGACACAGGAAAAAGATATTGATGTTCTTATAAGAACAAAGTATGCAGTTCAGTTTGCCATGCACCGTACAGGGAGAGCAGATGGTCCACATGACTCTCAAACTCTATCTCTGATTTCAGCACGGATCCCTGAACCTAGGGGCATGTGCTGTAAGCGGAAGAGAACAGGCAACAGAACACTGAGTAGACTGCCCAGCATGTAGTGGCACTGAGTAAAGTTCATTCCGATTTCTTTTTATCCTTTGGCCCCTTTACAGAGCAGCCAAGAGAAGGGGACTTTTCAGAGCAGTGATCCTCACACACGGGGAAGGGCACTTTTGAATTGCTTTGTTTCTAAGTTTCCAGTCCACTGCAAATGAGTACTTTGGGAAAAAAAATACAGTAAAAATACATTTTAAAAAACTTACTCTCAATTTCTACACTTGTCTCATCATAGCCTAATAACAGTTTCTGAATCAGGGCCAGTTCATGAACCACAATAAAGGTTTTCGAATGTCTAACAAACTAAAATAATAATATTGAGGCATCCAATACTTACATACCTGGTAAAACACTAGGTCTTTGGGAGTTAGTAAGCTATAAGGTGACAACTGTCTTTGTATCAACCAAAAAAGCTACCATATAGCATTTTTATGAATGTTTGTTCTCTGAGACAATGAACAAACCCAGATCAACCAAAAGTTGTTCACTACACCCTATTGAGTTTTATCATCACACTGATCCCAATCAATGATTATTTTCACATTTTCTTCCTGATCATTGCTTGTGTTTACCAAAAAAAAAAAAAAAAAGAAGTAGTTCAAACAGGGTAGCCTAGTCAATCTAATTTTCCATTGGATTCTTGGCACCTGGCCCAATTGTGGGCTTATATAAGGTTCTCCATATATGCCTGTTTGTCAGAATTAAGGAACAGTCAGATGGATGAATGGGTGAGTAGAATGAAGAGTAAACTTATTGAGCTGATCTAATAAAATGAGTTAGTGAAGTTTGTTCAATTGCTAGATAATTTTTCCTTTTAAAGTTATGTGGAATTTCATTTGCACACAATCTCTGATGGCTTGTTGTTGGTTGCTGTCGAGTCGAGCACAACTCATAGCAACGCTATGACCTGAAGCCTTTTGATAACTATCATCGTTTCTCAAAGTTTATTGAGTTTCCAGAGGCATGTGGTTTAGGAAGTGGATGCCACTCCTGCCTCTCCGGTGGCTTAGTGGCAAGAAATTGCACTGTTAACTCAACAGTATTTGGTTCAAGTTTACCAGCAGCTCCACAGAAGAAAGATGGGCAATCTCCATGCAATTTACTGCCTTTGAAAACCTGCTGGAGGGTCAGCTATGAGTCAGTTCTGGCTCAATGCTATATAACAACAAGAACAAACAACTCCCAATTTTGTAAATTAGTTACACTCTGATACTGAGAGAAAACAAGATTGAGGTAATTTTTAAATATTTTGCTATGGCTTGGTTTCCTTATTGTTTTGCATTTTTATTCTACCTTTTCCAACTGACAAGACTCTCGCTGGCCTCTGCCTAACAAAGTCTTCTTGTGTTTGCTATAATTGGCATATAACAATTCCTTTCTGAGATTTGTTTTTCCATTCTTCTCAGTAATCTATTGATCAAGTTCAGAGCACTTCCTGCAAATAAGCTTTTAGGACAGTCTAATTCTAAGTCAGTGTTATCTAGTAACGTTAGTGTTCCTCCTCTCTGAGAATTTTGGATCAAGATAAATAAAAACATTATCTGAAGAGTGAAACAGTATCGAGTTAGGTGCTAGTTATGATGGCATGGTACCATGAATAGAACAATCTTAGAGCGTTCCATTTAGAGAGCCTAGTTGAGTATACTGCAACAGGTTCTAATTACTTTTCAATCTCTTCATGGTTTCCAGAAATCAAAAGGGCAAGTCTAGTGAAATTTAGATCTCCAAGGGGATTAAAGCTGTAACTTTTTTACAATCATTCAATGTTGTTTCTCCTAAGCCCAGCATAAATTTCTTAACGCTTCAGCCACTTCCTACCAATTTTCATTAGACAGGCAGTACCAAAAGCATTTAACAAACCAAGCAGGCATTTACATGCCTTTGTTGTATTTATCTGAACCCTTGGCATGATAATGAATTGTTTCTGGCATTTCTTCAGACTATTAGTCTGAACAGCAGAAAAACTTGCTCAAAAAAAGACCTTGAAGAACTAGTGATTATCCACTTAATCAGAGGACCATCCAGTCCTGTGATATATGGACATAGAATACCACTCATGGCATTTTTAACACGTCCAGGTTTGCTGTGGATGATCAGGTTCCAATTTAAATCCTAGCCTGTGTGTTTTGTGAAGAAAAGGGAGGGACAGGGGAGGAATGTGAGTAGACGAAATATAGGCAAAAAGAACAAAAGGTTTGTTTTTATCTTACAGCTGAGATTGGAAAGATAAACTGTTTTTTGGAGCAAAAGTTGTGAAACAGTTGCTCTATTTCTCTTACAATAACAAAATTTAAAATCAAGCTTCTGCAAATGAAAGGCCTCATCTAAGGGTGAGGAAAGTAGTAAGACATTTTTTTCCTTCTTAACTACCACAGAGAAATTGTTCTCCTATAAAGATTGAATCTTTTATGCAAAAATTATTCTTCTTCATCTTTATTCATATAACAAAAATATTGAAATACACTGAAAGTTACAGATTTTCACATTTCCATGGCTCTTTTCTTTCTCTCCAAGAATATGAATTGCCCCACACTTGAACCTGCCGTGATTTTACAAACAAACCTGTCAACTTAGTCGGAGCTGACTTACAGTTAACCCTCCAGTGGGTTGCAGGAGCTGTAAATTGCACAAGAAGAGATAGCCCATCTTTCTCCTATGGAGTCTCTGGTTAGAAATGCCACAGGGTAAAGACTTCAGAATATCAATACAGCTCTCTGTGCCCTATGACACCAGGACTCTTGGCTGCTCAAAATTGTACACCAAATTTAAGTCTACTCCTTAACTCAGCATGGCAAAAAATGTTTGGGGGAATCTTCTAAAGAGTTTTCAAGATGCAGTTATAGGTTCTGAAGAAAAGGCAGTAGATATAGCATGCTAAAGTGATCTATTCAGAATTTTAAAAACTGGTTTTTATTTTAAGAAAGCAAGGGAGTTAGAAATAGGTATAAACCATTTATTTCTTTTTCACCACATTCTTCTATTAGGAAATATGTTAATTGAGATAAATGAAAAACTCACAGAACTTTCTCTTGATGTAATTAGCTGCTATGATGTCTATTCTAACTCAAGGAACTGAATGTATACGAAGTAGAATTACTCCAATAGTTTCTAAGGTTGTGACCTTTCAGAAATACGTTGCCAAGCCTACCTTCAGAAGGCACATCTGAGGGGGTTCATTGTCAACCTTTTAACTTATAATTAAATGCTTACCTCCTTTTTCCTTACTGTTCAAAATGAGAAAATCTCAACACTTTATCACAAAACAGATATCAAAGCTGAATTGTTGATGAAAGCATTTTCCACTTACACAACAAAATTTTGGAAATGACAACTGAAAAATGTTTGCATTTTGACAGATAGTATGCCACACCCTTTTCAGATGGATTCTTAAGCTTATCTTTCCTCTACATTTTCTGAGATGTGACAACTTTACTTCCCCCTAAAACTAACTCAATTGTTGTGCTTTAATTAAGAGTCATCTGAAAGTGATATATTTTGATCTCTATAGTCCTGTGAACATGAGGAGGCAAGGAACTCTACAAGGCAATTTTTATTACTTTCTTAGTTTTTTTACTTATGGAGGCCCACAGCCCTATATCAGAACAATGCTCTATTAAATTGTTTTATTTTACTGCCACTGAGTCTGAGCTCACTCACAGGTGACCCTGCACTGGGTTTCTAAGGCTATGCTTTGTATTGGAGGAGGTTGCCCATATGTCTCCTGGGGAGTAGCTGGTAGAATTGAACCACTAAAGAGGCATATCTTCAGGGGGAACGGCATGATATTCTATGTACTGGGCCACCAGAGATCTCTCAATGAATATAAACACATACAAAAATCACCCCTTATGCTCAACAAGTTCAAACTCCTGGCCTTACGATTCTTTGTCTCTACCCAACTTAGGTGGGACTGGAGAACATTATGCTGAGTGAACTAAGTCAGTCCCACAAGCATAAATATTGTATAAGACTGTTATTGTAGAATGAGTATAAAGATCCAGGAGGGATGGGAGAGGCTGGAAGCAGAGGGATGTGGATGTGCAGGGGGAAAAGGGGATTAATCATTGGGCTGTACAACTTAATAGGGGTGGGGTGAAGAAAGGATTTGTTCAAATTTGTATTAGAATTTTGTAAATAAACTAGTGAAAAAAAAATTTTAAAACACAAAACAAAAAGCCAATTGTTTGTCATGCAAAATTCTAACCACCATCATCTTCGTGCTGCTTCAGTTTCTCTGGCACGCCTTTGACTTTCTTATGGACAGTATGACCCAGAATAAAGACTTTGAAGACAATATAAAACTATAGTCACAAAATTTTAAAGTACGTGGAGAATAACTATTTTGTCATCAAGAACCAATCCAACAGCAGTCACGTACTGAGTCCCTTATGCTGTCAGTCCTGTTTTGATCCATAAGAATTAAAAAAAAAAAAAACCACAAAAAACAAAAAACAAAAAATTACCAAAAAACCCTACCAGGATGATTCATAGTTACTTCTGTTTGGGAAAAAAAAACCATGAACAATCCATATTTTGGCAAAAATGCCAAAGAAACTGAAAAATGCTAAGGACAAAGTAACAGCTATTTAAAAGAGTGCAAATTAGGTAAAATTTTGTGTAGCATATATAAAATGAACAAAACACTTCTCTTATGCAGTTCATTTTCAAGGTGGAAAAACCAAGATATGCTAAAATGCTTGTTTATATAATAACTTCACCAGTAAGTAACCTAGAAACTGGTTCATTAAAGCAGACTTCCATGTAAAATGGGCTTATTATACAGATTCAGAACTCTACAAATTAAATTTCATATGAAAAATATTAAATCTATATAAACTAAATATGTTCAACATTCGTTCTTAGCTACAATAGTAGCTCTACAAATGGACTCTAATCACTCATGGGCTTAAGAGCTTTAGACAACAGGAACTCATTTACTGAACACAAAGCAAGAAATGCTTAATACTTACCCTCTGACCAGGACTTATGGCGAAGGAAATGTTCTCTAGGATGGCACTGCCACCATCGATATATTTTGCCGTGAGGTCTTTGACCGTCATTTCACCCCCTGAGGGCCACTGGCCCTCTTTCTTCACATGCTGATTCTCAATAATCATCACTTTGGAGAGCTGAGCACCCTTAAAGCATTGGACCGACTGATAAGGTGTACTTTCTTCTGTTGGCATGTCGATAAACTTAAAGACCCGGCTCACAGATCGCATCTGAAACCAAAATATTTGATTTTTGTTTGTTTGTTTTGCTTTGGGGTTTCTGTTTGTTTTTTTCTTTTTGAAAGAAAGAATTTATTATTAAGTAGATTCAATATTATATATGACACCCTTAAGTTTATCAGAAGAACAATCAAAACCCTTAAATAACTTCCAGTTGAAAAAATATGTCCCTAAGTGCAAAAAATAATAAAGGAAAATTTTTCTTAACAGGTAACAGATGAAGTTACAAAAGTTGATATTAATTTGATTAACCAACTGTAAGAAAGAGCTATTTTTAAAAGTAGATCAGAGTTTTCATAAAAAATAATTTCAAAATCAGGAGAAAAGAATGTTTTATTTAATAACAGTAACTTTCTAATAATGTAAAGAAGTCGTATTCTTAACTCAAGATAGAATGAATGGTTTAAATATAAATCTAGAAACATACAATATACAAAACATACAATATATCATACAATAACATACAATCTCTAGAAGCATACAATATACAGAATCCCATTGCAAGATCATAAACATTTATATATAATCTTGAACTAGGAAAAGGAATTTTTTCAAGATTATATCTATTCTTCTTAAACCAATTTTATTATAAAAATAGACTAATATTAGCAACACAATAATAGATACAGACTAGAGGACTTCTAAGAAAAGCAGGTGATAGCATAAATTTGACATTTAATGGAAACTAATCTGTAATTCCCTGAAAGCCTTCTTTAAACCAAGCAATATTGTGGTTGCTGGTTTTGTTCGTAACAACACAGAGCACAACCGACCAAACGACTGCCAAAGTCCTGCCATCCTTACAGTCACTACTTGTGAGCCCACTATTGTACCCACTGGGTCAGTCTAGCTCGTGGAGGGTCTTTTTTTCCCAGCTGACCCTCTGCTTCATCAAGCATGATGACCTTCTCTAGGGACTAGTCCTTTCAGATAACCTGCCCAAACCAGCCTTTAGCTTAATTAAGAAAGAACAGCTACTTAGAATATAGTGCCCTTTAAGAGTCATCCAGTTGGGATTAAATGGACAAAAGCATTTAAAAGACTAGATAGCAAACTTAGGGGCAGTGAGTTTATGTTACGAGGGGAGGGACCTTTCAGACAGACTCCATGGTTGTGATCAACATCTCTGAATCCCACATACGTAGCATGGATTGCTACATGCTCTGCTGTGTGCATTGACAACAATATAAAGAAATTAATTTTTAAAAAAGTAACCTGTAGGATATCATGCAGGCTACTTGCCATCCAATTAGTTGTCAGGATTCTCAATGAATTAACAGGAAATCATTAGATATAATTAAGAGCTTAACCAAAGATTATAACTATGACTTATATAAATAGTTTCTGTAGAAACATGTTTGTTTTGGTGATCATTTAATTCTTAGTTATGTAAGCTACACATAAATAGTCAAACTATTCTGAAGGGAATAGATGATGTCAAAGAGGGCTTTTTCTCCCCCTACTCTGAGCAGTATTGTACAATGTTGTACAACAGGTTTTTATAATAAAATGTACCACACCGCAGAATTGAAGATTTGTTCCTTTATCAAAAACTACCTTATACTAATTACAATTTGATAGGTCAGCTAGGTGGTAAGGGACTCTTGATGCCTAGAAATTTTTAAACAACCTCACAACAAATTTCAAGTCAATTTAGGTCACTGGTATATAATTAAATAATAACCCTTTTTCAATTTGTTGGTGTTGTGTACCATTGAGTCACTGTGACTATCAATTTACAAGGCTGAACAGCCTATGAATGCTTATGAATTGTATTTGATACTAAATTTATACCTGTTCTATAAACCCACTTATTTATCATTTCACAAATCATATTTTAATATGTACAGAAATTCTGAAAACTCAGTTATTGTTTTTTAAAAGTTAAAGTTCTTTAACAAGAAAATGTTTCTCTGGAAAATTATGACATTACAATTTTAAATGGGATGTTTTTCAAAAAGTCTAGCATGTAATAAGCATAAAAAGAATCAAAGCTTTAAATTGTGGTGTTGACTAGGAATATTGAAAATATATTGAATATATCAGGGACTGCCAAATGATAGAAGAAATCCATCTCGGAAGATGTACACCCAGAGAGCTTCTCAAGAGCATAGATAGTGAGACTTCATCTCCTATATTTTAGGATGATATGGAGGCTCCAGTCCACAGAGAAGGACGTCATGTTTGGAAAAGCAGAAAGTCAGCAAAAAAGGGGAAGCTCTCTAACAAGATGAATTGACACAGTCACTGCAGCAATGGGCTTACACACAACAGACATTGTGACGCACAGGACTGTGGACAGAGTCTTGCTCTGTTGTACACAGGGTCTCTATGAGTGGGAGCTTGCACTAAAGTAGCTAATGAACAACAATTATTTGAAAAAAAAAAACAAACAGATGAACAATGGAAGGAACATGTAAAGAAATTAATAATATAAACCTGGAAAGGAAGGAACAAAGGAGAATCTCACTTCTATTGAGTCTGTGGCTCAGTTCTTCCGAGATGTTAACAGTTTAATAGTGAGTGAGAACTTTTATTTTGAAGTGTTAATATCAATTGTTAATGCACCCTTTAAGGAGTTAAGAAACCAACTAACCTTTCCCCTTATAAGATTAATTTGCTGTAACACTTTTTAGAGCTAAGTCTTTGTTGTTTATGTTCTTGGGTATTTCAAGTTGCCTATGACTCATAGAGACGTTACGAACAACAGATGTGAATCTTGCCCTATCCTGTGCTATCCTCACAATCTCTGACAGGTTCTGTCCCACTGTTATAGTCAGTCACTGTGTCAATCCATCTCTTCAAGGGTTGTCCTCTCTTTCACTAATCCTTTTAGACTATTTGCATTTGGGTAAAATTTTCCCCATTTGTCAAAATCATAAGGTGAAGTGGGAAGAGTCCTTCATCTTTAGTATAGAATGATCAGTGGATGAAGCAGTAGCTTTTCGAGAGTGACCTTTACTTGAGTACCAATTTTCAGATTTAACAAATCTGATCACGTGGCACATGGTTTATGAAGCATTTTATCTTATGAATCTTCCTTTTCTTTAAACTTGAAAATATATTCAAACTATTTTTGATACTTTTTAATATTCAAGAAGAAAATTCTTTTAATCTGAATTTCTTACTGTTAAGGGAAATTATAAAAGACCAATACTCACATTCATCATAAATAATTCTAGGAGATACAAACTATGTATAATCATTATTTTTCTCACATGTAAAATTTAAAATTCAGCTTTCTGGGTAACTTCAGAGATCGTTAAATCCTGATGCAGTTACTCTTGACTAATTCTCAATTCAAGCATATTATTGCTTTCCACTGTCATTCAGTTTCACAATGAACTGCCAGTCTAATAGGGGAAAGTTCAGAATCTAAGTTATAAATACAACCACCACTGAGATTCAACTACCTAAGAAGTAGCTTAAATATCTTTAAAATAATTTATTGTCCTTATCAAGCTAAGAATAAAATCAACCTCTTGATGACTGAGGAAAATAAAGAAATGTGAAGAATTTTTAGAAATATGAATTCTGCAAAGATCACTAAACTGGTCTTTGGTAAGCACTTTATTACACCAAAGAAGGCACTAGAAGTAAAACCTTTCAATATTTTATTACTCTTAAAATATTTTGGTAAAGTATACAAAACAAACACAAAACATACTTCCATTCAATAATTTTTACATGTACAAGTTCACAGACAATAGTTACACACTCCAAGCTGTGTCGTCATTCTCAGGATCTCTGTCCAGCTTTCACCACTCAGACTTACTACTTTGGACTCTTGGTGCCTTAACACTATCCCATCTGTGTTTAGAGTTACTCCTGTCCATTTGAGCTTATAGAAGTCATTCTTTCAAAAAGCCTGTTAGTCAAGGTAGAGTCTCTATCTAATGGTATAAATTATATAATGTAAAGATAACTTCATGGGATAGTTTTGGCTCAAGTCTTAAAAATCACAAAATCCTCTCTATGTTGATTCATCTAAACAGCCAATAAAATCTTTCAATATTTCTATCTAAACTGTTCAAACGTATTTGTAGCATTATTAGAAAGTCCGAGCTTTCAAAAAAACATTTTCTTGACAACACTAACTCTCTACATGAGTTTGGAGTTTGAGGGTCTGCCTTTAGGCTTTGCAAATCACACTCTCCATTAGTGAGGTTCAGCTTTGATGGGAATCCAGCCTGATATCACAAGGCATGACATTTTCAAATGACACACCTTGTCTTGATGTTAGTCAATGGGATATTCCTATCAATGTGAGAAAATGATGCTTCCCACCCATCCTCTTTCCCAGAGTCTACTTACTGAAAAAGACTCCAAAAGAGTCTAGCATCATTACTCACAGCATGCTCAAATATCCTTGACCGAGAACATGCTATTCTTAACAGTGAGCACTCTTCCATAGCACAGGAGCAGACATTCATTCCGTCCAATGAGTTAGAACATTTTCTAAGACCCTTTCTAACAGACACTTGCATCATGATCAGCTTCGAAGGCTGCAGGTGTCATTACTAATAGATGATGTAGCCAGATAATGTTGTAAATTACTAACCAATTTCTGTACCCCGCTGCCTGTCCAGGTTCAGCAAGCATGAACATTAATAACCTCCACTGTCTCTGGGAATCAGAAATAGAGCAGAGAAAACCAATTGCAAGTTTTAAAAACTGGTCTTTGAAACTCAAACTACAGAGATGAGCCATTTTTAAAAAGGTTTGAGATATTTTTATTTAAGCTCCCAAATCCAGAGCCTAGAAACATTTGAAGCACAATAGTATTGGAGAATGACAGTCACGGATGGGTCTGAAGGATGGGAAATAGTTTCACGTCCTATTTCAAGGTCTGACCCATAGACTGTCCATGAACGGAAGTCACAAGAGAACTAAATTGTCTGTTTTTGTGAAGATAAATCCTACTAGGCAGAATTCTTCTTTGATTCCTAGGGAGACTCTGGGGATGTTAGAGCACAGGGAGCCTTTATAGC